AAAAAAGAGTCCAGGTTCTTGTGTATGACAAGGAAAGAATTGCCAAGCTTACACCTCCTAGTAGGTCATAAGTAACAACTTATTGGAGATCACGGAACCATAGCAGGACCAGGGAAAAGGGTGGAGGGAAAAAGAGAGTGACAGGAAAAGGAACTAGAGCACAAAGGGAAAGGGAAAGGGTTCAACTGTGAAAGGGAAAAAGAGCCTTAATAACTCAGGCTTCCAGTATTTATAGGGTCAGATTCCACTTATTCAAGGTGCCTCCTGTCTCTCTCCGATGTCAGCAATCTGTGACACCTCCTAAATTTAAACCCAGACAATCATTTAGGGTGGTCCTAATTCTAAGCACGGATAATCTTTAGGGTGGTATGGCATTTACAGTTGAAGAAAGGGAAGGGAGGGACTGAGCTCCTTTGTTTCTAACTGCACTAGAAAGAATGGCTAGTGAAGGGGGTGAGGGGAGGGCAGGGGCATGGGGAAAAAATGAGAGCCAAGACCTGTCATGTAGAGGTACAAGATCCCAGCGATGAATGTAACTGTACTGTATCCCTAAAATGTACCAATGAACTCAATAAAGAAAATAAAAGAAAGAATAGCTATTTCATATATCACTCTTAATGCTGACACTGAACTGAAGCTTGGAGTATGGAGATAATTAAGACGTAAAAGATTCTTGCACAGGGGACGTTTACAGTCTTACAGTGAGGGAGACAGACAATAAACGAGTAAATGAATAAACAAAGATGATCATTTCAGGTACCGATTAGTATCCTTTTTTGTTGCTTTGGTTTGGTTTGGTTTTTTGAGACAGGGTCTCACTATGTAGTTCAGGCTGGCCTCAAACTCAGGGCAGTCCTACCTCAGCCTCCCAAGTGCTGAGATCATAGGCATACATCACCACACCCCACTTGATTAGCATTCTGAAGAATATAAGGAGACCTCCTCCACAAAATTCAATCCTGATGTTGCCTCAGAAGCAAGAGGGAAGTTTATAGATCTGCAGATTGGTGCACATCTAGGTAAAGACTCCAAAAACAAAAGCCACCCTGGGCATAGAGAAGGGGGTGGCTGTGACCTGCGTGGGCAAATGGTAGGAAAGCTGAGGAAGGGTGGGGGCAGAGCTGTAGGCTGTTTTTTCTCTCCGTACTGTCCTCGGCAGATCTTAGCTTGGCAGTACCATGGGGCAAAATATCTGCTAGACAGCAGTGGTGGGGTAAAATCAGTGTCAGAGCCTGGCTAAGGTCAGCAACACACAACTATGAGGATATTTGGATCCTGAACAATTCACTCTCCATCGCTTCCATAGCCCGAAGGCAGAAGATTACTGAACACAGTGAAACAGCCTAGGTAAGGGACAGGGCAGCGACTGTGACTTCCTGGGGGCCACTTGTGTAAAGCATATGGACATGGCAGGAGGGGTGGGAAGCTCAGGCTGTAGCTTCACAGGCTTCTCCTAGACTCGACTGGAAGGACGCCCTTGTTAGTTTAAAGTCCACTCTACCCTCACTAAACACCTTGGGCGAGTCATCAACTACTCTGTGCCTCAGTAATTTCATCTGTAAAATGAGGACAACTATTCACACGTACCTCATGGGTTATGTCAGGAATGAGTAAATTAATATATGAAAGCGTGTAGAATATATGTATATAAATATGGCCCAGTCACCCCTCCCCTAGATGTACATCCAAAAATCTATTCTCACACAGGTGGAATCCAGGAGCTGGATGCCACAAATGTACATATATATGTAGCAAATAAATCTGTATAACTCACTGTAGAATACAATGCATAATAACTAGAAGAAGGTCTATTGCAAGATACTATTTATGAAAATCTAAAACATTTAACAAATGAAATGGTACCTTATATATGAGAATATTATGTTTATACTCAAGGTTGTGTATCTATGCTTCATAGTGGGAAGGGAGCGAACTGAAGTGGAAATCAGGAATGAACAGGATAAACATCCATAAAAGAAAGCAATAATATACTATGAGTTGAAGTATGTGGTTGATTTAATACTTTTCACATGAGGCCTACAAAAATAGAGAATGGAAGGAGGAAGGGAGGGGGCAAAGTAATTTATTAGATAGTGTCTGGGCTTCAGGTGGGGTGATCAACGTTAAACAGGGTGGCGAAGGCAGGCCTCCTTGAAGAGGAGTCTGAGGTCTGAAGGATGGGAATCCAGCCGTGTGATAATCTGAGATGAGCATTCTAGGTAAAAGGAACAGCATGTGCTAAGACCCTAAAACAGAAACACGCATATTCAGGGACCAGGCAGGAAAAGACAAGACTAGTTGTAGCATAGCAAGCAAATAGAGATGAGTTCTGATTTTAGAGGATCTGATGCAGTCTTTCCTGACGCACCAAGTCTATAAATATAGCATGGGACAATTAGTTTCAGGGAACAGGCAATTCCCAAGCAAGGGGGAAGTTCTCTGTGGGTTTATGGTGACCTGGCTTGTGACAGAGAAGTGAGGTATGAGCAGCAGGGAAATGGACAATGGCAAAACCAAACTTTGCTCCCACAGGTGTAGAGGAGCCAATTCCCAATCCTGGGCAGGGAAAAACTTCTGCAGGTGCAGGCCTGGGATACCAAGTCTTCCCTGCTGAAGGCAGGACAGCCATGGGGATGGTAATGTTAGGGTTTTTGACATCACCTGTCCATACTGGCTCCTACTTACCACTGCTGCCTCAACACTTCCTGTGCTCCTGGCTGGGACCCTTTTCCTCCCAACCATCTGACATTTAGCCTCTCCTTTTCTGCTCTCTTTCTACGCCAAGAGCCAGATGTTTCTTGGTTTCCTTCAAAAGAACAATCGGTGTATCAAAAATACAAGCCTCAGATTTTCCTGCGGTCCTGGGAGAGTTAGCCTCTCATCATTGCCAAGCACAGAACTTCTTCTGAAATGGAAAACACACAAATAAAAAATTATAACAAGCTATTTTCTTAATAGAAAAATCTTGAGGCTGAGGGGGTGAAGGGAGGGCAGGGACAAGGGGAAAAAATGAGAACCAAGACCTGTCATGTAGAGGTACAAGATCCCAACAATGAATGTAACTGTACTGTATCCCTAAAATGTACCAACAAATTCAATTAAAGCTGAAAAAAAATTTTTAAAAATCTTGAGGCTAAAGTCCTAGACTATCTTGATTTCCATCAATCCTCATTCTTAGAAAAGTGTCAGACAACATAGGTGTCCCATAAAATGGGTAGAATGAATACACACACATACACAAACTGATACACACTTACTTAAAATGATGAAAAAATCATATCATGCCTTTTATGGCAAAAGCTCCAACTAGCATTTGTCTTTCTCAAGATAACAAGCATAAATGTAGCTTTGCTCTGTACCAATTTTTCCTTACCAGGACTACATAGAATTATAATGATATATTTTTAAATTTATTAAAAGAAATTTACTTATTTATTTTTCCTCTTTAAGTTTATTGGTACATTTTAGGTATACGGCACAGTTACATTCATCATTGGGATCTTGTACCTTTACACGACAGGTCTTGGTTCTCATTTATAATTATATTTATTGAACAATATGTCTCCCCCCTCATGAATTATCTCATTTAAAGCCACAACAGAGGCTGAGGGTATAGCTTTGTGCTAGGGGTAGAGTCCTCATCTAGCATTTACAAGGTCCTGGGTTTAATCCCCAATAACTTTTAAGTGATGACTAGAGTTGAGTTTTTAATTCCAGGTAACTGAAAAACAATTTGATGAACTTCTGAAACTAAGCAATTTTACAAAATCAAATACATTAAAGTTATACCTGATGCACTTACTAGTCTTCTGAATATCATTCTTTTTATTTTCTACACTAATCATTGACATCCATTATGCAGTCATGTGGTGCATAACAATATTTCAGTCAACTACAGACCACGTGTATGACAGTGGTCCTACAAGATTATAACAGCTGAGAAATTCCTGTCACCTAATGATGTAACTGTCGTAATATCACAGCACAATGCATCACTCCTGTCTTTATGGTGATACTGATGTAAACAAATCTACTGTGCTACCAGTTGCATAAAAGCATAGCACGTACAATGATATATAGTACATAGTATTTGACGGTAAATGACTTACTGGTTTTATGCATTTAGTGCATTATTCTTTATCATTCTTTTAGAGTGTATTCCTTCTACTCATTAAAAAAAAGCTTATGATGAAAGAGTAGGCCATGTTTTAGGCCATCAGCAGCTTGATACATCATTTTTCCCCCACACCTTTTGGTTTCATCAAGAGACCACGTTGAGTGACTGACTGTCTGTGTTAGGAGAGACCCTCCATGATGTCTGCACAATGAAACTGGCTCACAACACTTTTGTTATGGATACATGACTGTACTTAAACATTTTTTCAGGCGCTCAAAGCTTTTTACAATATTGTAACTTTTTCAAATAGACCGCTTCCAGCGATTTGCCGAGAAGCATCAGAAAAAGAATAGAATTGAAATCTTGTAATCCCTGAACTCTTCTTTGTACAGAGACCGTTTTAATTCTAGTTTCCAGCTTGGCAGTTTCTTTTTTTCTTTTCTTTTGAAGTAATGGTTTAATTGCTTTTTGTGACCATAAACACTGTTCAAGCATTGTGACCATTTTGCTACCTTGTAAACACTTTGTCTGAGTCTGAGTCCTGAGAAATTGTAGTCTGAGGCAAAATTTACATCCAAAGCTTTACTAAAAGGGTATAAACTCGAGGCAGCAAGTGTGAAAGAAGACAGGCACATGAGGCAGGAAAAAGGGGAAACAAAGAGAAGGTGCCTTATTACTGAGCTGGTTTCTGCTTCACTAGAAAGTGCAATTGGTTGCTAGGTCACATGAAAGTTTCCAGAGAGGCCATCTGGAAACATTTCTCAGAAGGGTCCTTAAGGGAAGATCTTATCCATGGGTCCTCCATCTCTGCCCTCTCAGTGGTTAAACTTTACTTCATCGGGAATTAACTTCAGGCTTCCTTACTTGACCCATCTGGGCAACCATGGGGGAGGCAGCAGTTGCATTGGCCCATGGTGAGCTGTTGATCTCGGCCAGTAAGCAGGCACAAGCTAGGGATTTCCTTACTGCCTGCAGGCTCTCAGGCCCCCTGTCAAGTCAGTGTGCCCCCAGGGGTCCCACTGTTTCTTGGATCTGGTGACAGGCAGAACACAGGACAGGGAAGGAGGCCAGCAGCACAAGGTAGTGTGACCCTGAGCTCTGCCACAGGTGAGACCCCTAGCAGCTGGCAATGGACCCAGCTGGCTGTTCAGGGAGAACATGGTGACAGCATGGCTTCTGCAGTGACAGAGGCCCGGGAGCTGCTCTCAGCTGCTCTAAAGAAGGTGATCTTCCTGGAAGGCCATGAAAATACTGAGTCATGGCGGGGACAATAAACTCTCACTGCGAGAACATCCCCAAGTGCATTTCCTGGTGCGCACACTGGAGAGTTCTCTTTGTGTCTGTGTAGAAGAGCATTTAATGGCTGGAGAGCTGAGCATTCCATGTTCAACTTCAGTTACTGTCGGATTTTACTCCTAAATAATACCTTCAACAACTGCTAGCTATTGACTGAGTCTGATTCTTTTCCTTTTTAATAAATTATATTTAAAACACCTGTCAATCCATAAATTCAACTCCGGGGAAAATATCATCAAATAGACCTATTACAATTTCCTCCTTGTTAAACTGGAAATAAGCATCTCTTGTTAAACTCATGAGGAAACCAAAGCTAAGAATTAAATGTTTCCTATGATGTATTAGAACTAGAAGAGAAAAGCTATTTAAAGCTGCATTCATTTTCAAATCAAGTTTTCCCATTGTTTCCAGGAGAGGGCACAAAATCATCTTATATTTGTTCTTATGGTTCTTCACCACCTCCCTAACCTCACTCCACAGCACACACATACACACCGCTTAACTTTCGCTTTGCATCCACACACTAGATAAACAGCTTATTTTCAGAGAGGCACATTTGGGCAGATGTCCCACTGTGTTTCAAGATCTCAGGCTCCAGTGGGGCTTTCCGAAGTTCCCATGTAAGGAATATTTCTGCGAGGACCAAAGGCATACTGCCTCATGTTTATAGTTCCAGTATAGGTTTTCCTCACTTCCAGTGCTTTGCTGTAACAAAGGTGTGATAGACGTGATAGCAGGGAATTAGGAAGTATATTGTCTAGAGAGATTTTTAAAACAATAGTAAAACCAAAAGCTGGTCTGCTGTTACCACATCACATACTAGCAAGTCTACACAACAGCAAGTACGCTTCCCTTTCAAAATGATTTTTTGGCCTAAACTCTAAGAAATCTGTGCAAGTTACTAGTCAATTTTATAATAAGTAAAATTAGCACATTGTATTGCTTATCCTTCAATGCAAGCTAACACAGAGAAGCCCTGATATAAATGGATTTAGCTGCATGTGTTTGTTGGCGAATGAAGTTCCTAGGGGCCCAGACCATCCACATTTGAACGTGCTGGGTACATTTTCTATCTTCAACTTGTATGGAGCTACATATGCTTCCACTTTCAAACACCAGATTTGAAATAGATAAATGGCAGGCAGCACAGTGGTGGTGACAGGCTTGAGCTATTTCAATTCTTTCTCATTCAATTTAATTCTCTCAAAAAAAGTCATTTGGAGTTTTTGTTTGCCATTAAAAATTAAGAGAGTGAGAGCCGGGAGTGGTGGCACACGCCTGCAATCTCAGCACTTGGGAGGCTGAGGCAGGAGGATCGCTGTGAGTTCGAGATGAGCCTGGGCTACACAGTGAGTTCCAGGTCAGTCTCAACTACATAGTGAGACCCTTTCTCAAAAAAATAAACAAAAGCAAAAAAATTAAGAGAGTGAAAGTGTGAACCATAAGGTATGGCAGGGTTGGGCGGTTTGTAAATGCAAGTTTTAGTTCATATGTGAAATATTTTTCTGTATTTGAATAATATCTTTAGAAACTGAAACTTATTTCTTTGTAATTTTTTTATTTAACTACTATTAAACTAATACTCATTCTGTAGCAGATTAACATGAAAGTATATAGGCATCTTCTTTCTTTAGAACAATAGTAATGTAATTTAGAAGTACTAATCCATTACTTTCCCTCCTTTGTGATACTGTAATGATTTAATTGGCATGACTTTATATACAAGTCCAGTAAAAGAAAACTCACTGTGCTTATTTTCAGTCCATCGTTATTATTTTCATTCCATAATTATCTCTAAAAATAACATATCGAGGAAGCAGGTGTTAGAAGTCGATTTGCCCCATCTGCAGATACAAAGGCACATTCTGCTTCTCAGACACTGAGAACGCCTAGCCAGTCACACTGCGGGATGGGAGGGAGCCTGCTGCAGATACTGCCCCCTGCTGCTTGGTGTGAATTCACCCTTGAGACCATTAACCCTCAGTTTGCTTAAATCCTATTCTTTCATTCAGAGATACATACTTCACTAAAATGCCAACTCCATGGAAACTAGAACTTTCTCTTGTTCACACGATCCAAAGTGGTCTGTTGATAGATTTTTACTGACTGAAAGAAGGAACATGGTAGTACTCTACACATATTGGAAAATATGTATTAATATTTCTGCATGTTTTGTGTGAGTGCTCACAGCAGAAAACAGGAGCCTCACTGGGAACAGATATCACATCTTTTTTCTCTCTTTTTTTGCCTTTCCCCCCTCTCCTGGTTCCCCATCTTCTCTTAGCGCCAGAGACTACAATTTCAGGTTGACAAACCAACTGATTTACAAGTGCAGTACCTAAAGCACTACTCTGAAGAATCAGGAGTGCCCAAGGAGCTAAAATTCAATACAATAGCCTTTTCTATTCTTTTTTTTTTTTAACTGTATCAAGGATTTCTTTTTTAAAAACAAAATTTTAGTCTCTCTTTTTCTGAATCTATCATTGAAGGCTTATTTATTTATTTATTTATTTGGTACTGGGGATCGAACTCAAGTCCTTGTGCTTGGAAGGCAGCTGGCAGAACCACTGAGCCAAATCCCTGGCCCAAGGTATTCTTTTTTTATTTGCCTTTGTTTTGGTTTTTATTTGTAGGGAAAGCAGGGGCACAGACAGGTTTCTCATCAAGAAATTAAAATGCTCAACTTATTAAAAGATATAACTGATATCAATCTCTACCAAATTTTAACAATTTTTTCTCATTTATATAATTGATGCCCAGGAATATATCTAGTAACCAACACTATAATTACCATTTTATTGGAGGTAAGAGAGGAGAGACAGTGTAACTTTTAAGTACCTGAGAAGTTCACATATGACATTCTTTCAAAGGTAAGTAATGCAGAATGGTAGCATTGAAGACCCTATAGATTTATAGCCCAACTTCAGTTTGTAAATAAAGAAGCCAAAGCTCAGAAAGTAGAAGACCTGTGTTCAAGGTCTCATTGTATAAAGTGCTGCTAGGCCTATAAAACCAGCAATCCTGAGTTCCACCTCCATCTCTCCTCCCAAACAACAGAGGTTCTGATTTTTAAACAAAAACTCCTGAAGCGGAGGAGTCTCTAAAATAAAAGAGTTTAGGGAACTGTTACACATGCTAGCCATAAAGAGGACCCGGTCCTGGGACTAATTCCTCTGGCTGGCAAGCAGTTGGAAATACATATGCCAAAACTAAAGGCCAAGAGCATTTTCCGCCCCCTGTGGTCTTTGGCTATATATTTCTCCATCATCTGTATTTTCTTTTTTTTTTTTTTAGCTTTAATTGAGTTTATTGGTACATTTTAGGGATACAGTACAGTTACATTCATTGTTGGGATCTTGTACCTCTACATGACAGGTCTTGGTTCTCATTTTTTCCCCTTACCCCTGCCCTCCCTTCACCCCCTCGTCCGCTCCCCCTCTACAAACACTTTATTTTCATCTTTTCATTCTCTCACATTTTTTTCTTTTCCCTTTTTACTCTTCCCCTACCCATCCCAGCATTTTTTAAATGAAAATTTGGGGAAAGAAAGCATAAATGGTTTACAGTGAACCTACAGGAGCTGCAAGCAGAAGGGGCACGTTAACACAAAGTGAAGAGAGTTTGAGGATAGAAGGACAATCTGTAAGTAGAACCACTTGTTGCTTCTGGATTGGTTGGACATACTTGTCCACAAAGTGTATGTTTTCAGGACATGGTGGCACCTGATGGACCTCTGTGATGGGATTTCAGTCAAGGTTTTAAAGTACATTTAGGAATGTTGGCTTGGTCTGAAGCTATTAGCTGATTAATTGTTCCTCCCCTACATCCTCTGACCCTTGTAATAAAATTTAAGACATCTGGAGATTTTTAAAAATTACAATGTAGGGGCCGGGGATTTAGCTCAGCGTTTCCGTGGCCTGCCTTGCAAGCGCAAGGACCCGAGTTCAATCCCCGGTACCAAAAAAAAAAAAAAAAAA